TACTATTGATGCTTTGGTAAATGGATATATAGCCAAACTGCATCTAAACATTTATGAGACCCATAGACTAGTGCAGCTCTCAACCTGTCAGAGAAACTTCCTTTTGCAGTAGGCGATGGTTAATGCAGAGACTCACAACTTGTCAAAGTGCTAAGAATAAATGGCAAGTGCTCAGTCCTAAATGAGACATCTATATCACTTGGGAACATCGTGATAGAGGGGGCATGGTAGAAATACTGTAAGAGCTGAGGACCAAGAGAAGCAGTTTGAATTGTTGCCCTCTGAATATGACATGGCTGTCATAATCACTAACACATGGCAGATGTGGAAACCTGTGCAAGACCTGCATAAAAGGAGTGGGGATAGATAACAGGGGAACTAGTTTGGAAGCAGCTTGTGAGCAAGAGTGGGAAGGTATAAGACAGGGTGATAAGAGCCGGGCATGGTGGTGCACGCCTTTAGTCCTAGCACTCGGGAGGCAGAGGCAGGCAGATCTCCGTGAATTCAAGGCCAGCCTGTTATACATAGTGAGTTCCAGGATAGCTGGGGCCACAGAGAGACCCTGTCTCAAAAAGATAAAAAAAAAGAGAGAGGGTGATATAAGAGAGGATGAATACAACCACAACACATTCTATGCATGTATACAACTGTCAAAAATATTTTAGAACCTAAGGTTAAATGTTAAGGAATTTTTTTGCAACTAGACTAATATCTTTACTTGGAAATGGATGCTCAAGTGGGTATGTGAATATGATCAAGGTACATGATATACTTGAATGAAAATGTGACTGTGAAATCTACCACTCTGCACAATCAATATATGCTAATAAAACTTAAAATGACAACCAAAGCAATGTCATTAAACATGTTTTGGATTTGAATATTAGGATATTCTGTATTGATTCAAATACCCAGTATACAATATACCAGTGACATAAATTGTTGATAAATGCATGAAAAGATGCTTTTAAAAAGTAAAGGATGTTCAATTTCATAAAATGTTTTATATGTCAATACATTTTTATTCTTGTAGAAGCAAAGGATCATGTGAGGGTTAAATGAGAGGATTAAAAGATAATATAATATTCAAATAGTCTATGTAGAATGATTCATGTTTTATTTTGGATACTGGTAGAAATTTCATATAACACTCATAAATAAAAGACAAGTTTTCTTTTTTATTTCATTTTTTATTGAAGAATTTCCTAGTTGAGTTAATATGTATTCCTGAGTATTATTTTTACTTATATTTTTGAATAATTTAATCACATAAATCTTATAAAATACATGTCACCAAAAAATTATACACAATGATCAATTTGCTTTCATTCCAGATGCACAAGTTTGTTTCAACGTATACAAGGTGATAAATGTAATCCATCACATACACTGAATCAAGGACAAAATTTAACATTGTAATATCAATAGAGAAAATAAGTGCTAACAAAATTCAACATCCCTTCATGATAAAATCACCCAACAATAGCAATAGAAGGCCAATCCATCAACAGAATAAAGCTATGAACAACAAGCTTATAGCTCACATTGTAATGAATGGGGGAAATGGGAAGCGTTTCTTTCTAAAGACAGGAATGCAACAAGTATGTCCACTCTGATCACTCTTACTCAAGACAGTACTTGAAATATTAGCAAGGGCAATAAGTTATTGGTGGAAACAAAGGGATACATATATGAGAAGAAATGAAATTCTTTTTTCCAGCTGACAAGATCCTAAAGTCCTGGGTCTACAGACACTACCAGAAAGCTTGATTTTATCAACAACTGCAGCGAAAGTAGCAGTGTACAAAACCAACATAGGAAACTCACTAACTTTATTATATATCCATAATTACCTTGCTGAGGAAGAACAGAAAATTATTTCATTTATAATACTAGTTACCTTTCTGAGGAAGAACAGGAAAACTATTCCATTTATAATAGCTTCATAAAAGCAAATATCTATCAATAATTCTATCAAGAGGGGTTAGTGAATAACAAAAAGACAGGAGGGAAATGTGCTGTCAAGAGCCATGGGTTGGGGATGCACAAGCATGGTGGAAGGACTGGCTGTAGATGGAGCTATGGTCTAACCCACTTCTGTTCACACACAGGCAGATGAAATTATAATCTGGTGGTCTGGAAGTCCAGGAAATGGAGAGACTTGCTTGGTACAGCAGATAAATGTCCTAAAGTGGAGATATAACAGTTCTCTAGGTAGTTTTGTAAGGTTTGGATGGGCAATGTCAGGAGCAATGGCAGTATGGGAAAGAATTCTGAAGATGGAGAAATGAGAAGTAATCTGGTGGAAGCAGTACTGAGGATGAACTAAACTGCCTTCAAAACTGTCCCATGTGAGTGCTTAGCCCCCCGGCTGATCCTCAGAGAGATGTGGAATTGTGAAGTCCATGAGCTAATGGACCTTGGGCAGAATAGAGCCTATCTTTCTCAAGAGACCAAGAGTCGTCTTCCAGCTAAGGCTCTTACCTGACCAGTGATGGGAGAAGCCACAGGCTTCTCACTGGGAAACATGTGGCCTAAGGATCAGGGACTTGTAACAATAAGCAAAGACTGGATTGTAGCTATTATTTGGAGTGTTATCATCAGGATGCACTGCAGTGTGAGCAGAAAGTTTTTTCCATTACAGACTAACTTGAAATGTAAACTATCTGCAATATTGGAAAAACATTCAAAATGTATTAGGAAATCTAAAATGCCACTAACGATGATGCCAGGAATAAAAGACACACAAAAAGAGATAACCCATGTTAACCAATAAAGTACATTGATCAGCTTTTGTGGATCTTTAGGTAATGTGTGTTTTCTGTGATTACTAGTACATGATTTACCCTTTCGTGTGCACTTACCTAATTTCTCTGCTTTAAAATAAATTTAGAAGGTTTCCATATTTCAGATGATCTGTGAGCATGCTGAACCTTCTTAAATATCTAAAGAACTTCATATTAATCATAAAATATAGTTCAACATTTTAAAATTAGGTCATTTTTCCTTTCCTGGCTATGCTTCAAAAATTTTCATTTAAGGGATTAATCACAGCCGGGGAAGTGGTGTAGGCTGAAATGTGAGGCTCACAGGCAACGGAAGTCCTTAAATAGTCCCAAACATAAATAATTTTAAAAATTCAATGAAGTCAATGCTCATTATTTGCCAAAAGTATGGGACACTTCAAATGTGAAAAGAAAACAGAATTTATACATCCTAAGAAAAATATCAAACTTAGAATTGGAAATATAATGAAAGCAGTTTTCTTAACGTGCACTAACTTAGAGACCAACGGAGAACACCTGTGCCTTCACAATGCTTTCCCCCGGGCGAACTAAGAATACAAGAACAAGGGAGAGTCAGACTGTGGCGATGAACAGTGATGTTAGGCCGCTCTTGGGAGGCTTTCCTGGTAACCATGTGGTGTCTGTTTGATTGTTTTGGAAATCAATCATTGGAAGCAATTAATAGTTATATGAAGTATAATATGAAAATTTTAGAAGATTACACTTTGACACTAAGTGAATCAATTCACTTACTCTAAAAACACGTTACTATTAACACTATCAAAGAGCTCAATAGCAAAGAGAAATACAATCCAGTTTTGAAAAGGGAAAAGAACAGAAATTTCTCAAAAGGATGCATATTACTGGCCAAAATGTTTGTAAAATGATTAAAATCACTAATGATTAGGAAAATGCACATAAAAATCACAGTGAGATATCACTTCTCTGAAGACAAAGTGATATAGTCAAAAAGACAAATGACAAGTGTTGATAAGAATGTGGAGAAAAAGGAGACTTTACAAAATGTTCTTGCAGATACAAAGCAGACAGCCATGGTTGAAAACAGCACAGAAGTTCCTCAACAAGTAGAAAATAAAACTACCACCTAATCCAGAAACCATACTACTGGGTATGTATGTAAGGGAAATGATATAATCTTGTTGGAAACAGATATGTGCATTCTCTGTTTACTGCAGCAATATCAGCAACAGCTAAGATATGGATTCAAAGGAGCCACCAACAGACGAATGGGCAAAGGAAGTGTCATTTGAACAGAACAGAGTACTTTCCATTATAAAAAGAAAGCCAGGATGGTGGCTTAGTCCCAGCATTCTGGAGGCAGAGGCAGGTACATCTCTGTGAGTTCAAGGGCCAGCATGGGCTACATAGCAAGCTCCAGGCCAGTCACTGATACAGTGAGACCCTGTCTAAAAAAAAGCTCTGGCATTTACAGCAACATGGATGAAATACAGAACTTTACGTTAAGTGAACAAGATAGGCATTGAACAAACACTGTGTGTTCAAAAACATGAAATACTTTAAAAGTTGGTATCTAAGAAACAGAAAGGATTTCGGTTACTCAAGAGTGAGAAGTAGATGAGGAAAGGAGATGAGAAGAGGCTGACAGTCATGTTTAGGAAAACTTCTATTGTACTATTTCATATAGGGTGGCAATAGCTAATAATAATATGCTACATATAGCTAGAAGGAGGGATTCTGAATACTTCTACCATGAGAAATCATAAATTTCTGTGATAGATATGCTAATCACACTGATTTGGTAATACAATATATACATCTACTGAAGCTTTAGCTCATAACAGATGCTTAAAATTATTACAGGTCAATTATAAATAAAATTTTAATGCAGAACCCCCACACCACACAAAACAGAATTTGCGCTTCCATGATAGAAATTCAAACTATGAAATCAGAACTCAAAATTTCTTGTGTGAGAGGAAATGACTCAAAGACACAAGTGAGAAACTGAATCAAAGCAGGCTGTGGCATCGAGTGGCTGTTGAGCAGATACAGCTGAGGAAGAAACTCAAAGGTCTCTGAGAAGCCGGAGATAAGGAGAAAGGGACCAAAGAATTGCTCTTCCTAAACTGAGTGTCATCTGAGCAGCCTCAGAACAGGGCTCTCCACTCCACATGCAGAAAAATGATGGCATCTTCACCTTGAACTTTTGTTCCTCATGGGTGATGGAACTCCTTTTTTTTCTTTGTCTTCTCTCTTTCCTTCTTTTTTCTTTCTTTTTTCCTGTTTTTCTTCCTTTCTTCAGGGCTTTCTATAAAGGCCAGGTTTATCTCAATCTTGTTCTGTAGCCCAAGTTAGCTAGAAAACTGTGATCCTCAATCTTCATCTTCCCTGGTACTGTGATTACAGATGTACGCCACGAATGTAGTATTTACTAATACTCAAGCCCTATTTACTTTATATAACCATTGATCTCTGTTTCACAGAGTTTTCAAAAGTGTGAATGCACATCATCTCATTTAGTCCTCACAACAGCCCTGTGAGGTAGGCAGGCAGGGACAATGGTTCCAGGACACAGAAGATAAGAATCGTAACGGGTAGAGCTGATAACCAAACCCATGTCTTACACCTCTTGATCCAGAACTCCTTCCACACTGAGATAGACTGAAATCGTGGGGGTGAGCTAAGCAGCCTCTCTGCTGAGAACAGTTGACCATTCTTTGTGCTTACAACATGGGTGATTTAGAGTTCAGATCTGATCCCAGAGCTCTGTGGGGAAACACACTTGAGCTTAGTTCCTATCAGCATCAGAAGGATGAAGAAGATAGAACACGGACATCTTAAACAAGAGTTTCTGCTTGTTTTCTTGATCTTCAATGGGCCAGATTGGATATTGTAACTTTAAAGCAGCAAAGTCCAGGAGAAGTCATTCAAAGGATCTTTTCATCTAGCAGTTTATTGATTCCTTCACAAATCCTCTTGAGGTTGGGCCTGCAATTTCCATCCAGACTGTAGAGAGTGGAAAGGAATTCCACATCGGCAAAGTGGTTGAAGACATGGTTGATGCGCCCATGGGTTCTGGGTGTCAGGTGTCGCTGTACCAGTTCATGTACCAGGTCCTTGCACTCATGCAGAAGCTTCGAGAGCACATTCTTATCAAAAGTATATTCTACTTCATAAAAGCTGACCATGGTCATGGCAGTCTGGTTCAGCTTCTTCCGGAATTTCTCTACAATAATGACCTCCTCTTGACTGAACTGGTTGTTCCGGTAGAGAATACCAATTTTGATTGCCACTTTGATTAAATCTTTCATAATTTTGTGGGCCTCCTTCTTGTTGTGAGTGTGCTCCTTGGTGACTTTGTAGAGCTCATCAAAGATCTCACTGCTGGTGTCGTCAATCAACATGTTGGCCACAGTTTTGCTGGCTATTTTGCTCAGGATCTTCTTCTGGGCATGAAGGGCAAGACTCTTTGAGCTAAACACATCAGGACCTACAGTAAGGAAAGAAAGAAATGTAAGAATACAAGAACTGTTACATTTTTGGAAGCAAAACACACTAAGTTGAACTCACATTCTTAGAGCAAAAATTAATGGTTATATCCCTAAAGTCCCTAGATCTGCTTTCCAAGTGCTGAGACTACAGGTGTGTGCCACCACACACAGCTCATCAATGTTCTTTTTTCATTTTTAAATTGCACTTACTTATTTGTTTTGTATGTGGGGGGTGGTTCAGAAGACAACTTGCAGGAGTCAGTTCTCTCCTACCATGTGGTTCCCAGAGATCAAACTCAGATCATCAGAACCACACTTCCTCTCCACAGGCCATACCTGCTCTTCCTGAGAACTTACACATAAAAATGAACAAGCCAGGCGTGGTGGCGCATGCCTGTAGTCCCAGCACTTGGGAGGCAGAGGCAGGCAGATCTCTGTGAGTTCAAGGCCAGGCTGGTCTACATAGTGAGTTCCAGGACAGCTGGGGCTACAGGGAGACTCTGCTTCAAAAACAAAAGAAAAAAAGAAAGGAAAAGAAAAATGAACAAATCAAAAAAATCGAATTAACTCATCATAATTATCTTCAACCAAATGATGCAAATTAAAATTTGAAAGATTTTAGTGACCAGAAATCTCTTAAGAATTAATGACTTTCTTTCTAGCTGGGTATGGTGTTACATACCTGTACCCCCACCACATTACAGGCAGGACAATCATGAATTCAAGACTAGCCTGGGATAGATACATTTCAATACCTTGTCTCAAAAAAGTATTTTCTTCTAGGGTGAATGGTTATTTCAATTATTTATGATATGATATGAAATATCAAAATTTTAATATTTTTAAACTTATTTTTATTTTTTTACATGTATGAGTGTACTGGCTGCATGTGTGTAAGTGCCCCCATGTTGTACAATACCCATGGAGGTCAGAAGAGGGTGTCAGATCCCTTAGAACTGGAATTACAGATGGTTGTTAGCTGCCATGTGGATGCTGGGAATTGACCCCAGGTCCTCTGCAAGAGCAGTCAGTGCTTTAACCACTGAGCAATCTTCTCCAGTCCCAAAATTTTAATATTTGTTAAGCATTAAAAAATAAAGTTTTAATAGAAATGCATCTTTAAATAGACATGGAAGGGTAAGCTAAGGTACTCTGATTAAAAGAGATGTCATCAATGTGAGTTTCAGACTGGCCCTTTGTTTGACTGGGAAAGTTCTGTACCCCAGAGTAAACACTCTCATTAAAGTTCTTCCTAAGAGAGAACAACATGAAAAAACTTTCATGACTGAAAGAAGAGAGATCACCACACCTTGGCCTTGGGTATCTTCCTGGGCAGATGCATTTGTATAAAGTCTGCACAGAGAGAATGTATAGACATCAGATAGAGGAATTTATAGCTGTAAATCAGTTCTCTAAAAACGCTCCTTTGCCTTTAATTCCAGCACTTGGAGACAGAGACAGGTGAAATACTATGAGTTCAAGGACAGTCAGAGCTTCAGTCAGGCCCTGTCTCGAAATATGAAAAACAACCTCTAGTTATCTGATCTGGGTGTTAAGGCATGCCTGCAAATCCCAGCACCCAGGAGACTGAGGCAAGAGGATCACAAATCTGAGGTCAGCCTGGGTTACTGAGAGAGACCTCAAAAATAAAAGTGGGCTGGAGAGATAGCTCAGTGGTTAAGAGCATAGTACAACTGCTCTTGCAGAGGACCTGAATTCAGATCCCAGCACTCACATCAGGCAGCTCAACAATCGCTTTTAACTCCAGTTACAGGGTACTAATGCCCTCGTCTAGCCTCTGTGGGCACCTGTACTCACATGCACATACTCACATGCACACAAGCACTCATGCGCTCGCACACACACACACACACACACACACACACACACA